GGATAACAATGATTGATTGGCTTACTGAAAGTTGCTGTGTTCATAACTCCGAACAAACTGTGCTCTGGCAAGCCAAATTATCTCCAAGGTTTCCAATTTTCAGGGGTAAGATCTTCTGATTGTCATAAAATGATAACTTGAAGAGTATCACTCTCTCAATATATAGATAAATGTTTGAAGTAACTGGGAAAAGAAAAAGCCCAGACAGGTCACTTTCGTGAAAAGCCCCAGCTATCTTAGAACTCATCGGGTGCCCGTTAGGCCCTTTTGCGAGGAAGCATGATCACAGCAGAAAAAATGTAGGAAGAAATACACTCTCTTTAGTAAAAACGGATATAATTGACTACAAAATCAAACTGGGCTAGTACAAAAAGCAACCTTTGAACAACTTATTAAAGGACTTGGGCATTTTTTTAAAAACTTTTTGCCAAGAAATCTTCATATTTCATTAAAATACAATAGTTGCATATTTTTGTCCTTTTGCCGGGAAAAGTTTTTTGCAGTGATCATACTTCCCAGCAAAAGGGCCTAAGCGCTTACGCCCTTCTGCAGGGCACACGATGAACTGCATGCACTGTAATGGTTGCCGGTGAAGTTGTCTAGTACTTTAATAGCCCAGTTACTTGTGTTTAAAGGGGTGTAACTTTATGAAATAAAAGTATATATTACTGATGAGCTTTGAAGCTTTTCATGGTGAAGTTGGCAAGTTAGATAGAAAGGCTTGTGGTACCACCATGCAAGGATATCTCTCGGCATGTATGGTTTTGAAAAGAACCGGAGGGTACTCAACGGTTCGGAAAGTGTGCTCTGTCCGTCGTCGGGAGATTGCTTAAAGAAATACATTTACAAATTTACACGCTGAATATTAATGAGATGAAGGTTATTTGCTGCCACCATTTCTAAAATGACTAAATACGTATCTGAGACATAACCGGTTAGCTGATGTGTAAATATCCAGCTTACCTCACTGTGTGTCCAAGACACTAGTTTATCATCAGCTGACCCAGAAACACCCCTCTCAGACACAGTGGAATAGTCCAGACACATTACTATGGATGCAAAAAAGTGAATCAAACCAATGATCTTCTTGAGCGCAAGTCACAGAAATGACCCAATTACTTGCGTTTTATGTAGCAGGACAATGAGGTTAATGTCAAGGGAACAGGTTTGTCAGATCTTTTTCAAAGTGGGTTTTTGCCCTTACTCTGATGTAAAGTCATAGCACTGGATAGTGCTCAGTGTGTGTCCGACAGCTTGCGAATATAATTCACAAGCTTACTTGTGTGGGACCTGAACCCATGACCTCCTGCTTACTAGTGGAGACGTCTTGCCCACTCAACCACCGAGCTTGCCGGGGTCGGCAGGCCAGTCAGAGTCAGTTATAGCAGCAAGTACCACGAACTATCTCAAGATGTACTGGGGAGATGATCTAGTCATCTCATCTCTTGTACGTAACCACAAATCAACCTTTATGCACCTGCCTCGCTGTGGAATTGCTTGTGTGCAAGTATCTTCTGAGCGTTGGTATCCCACAATGCAACTTGTCCAGCCTCATAGCCAACCAGCAGCCTTGATGCATCGATGAATTTAATGCACATGGGCATCCCTGAAAGTGAACAATAGAAGGCCTGGTCAAATGTGATAACAAAAGGACTGGATTGGTCGTAAAAATCTGTTTTGAAAAGGGAACTACATGTTTACTGATTGAAAATGGTGCTGTTCCATGCTTCGGTTACATTTTAAAAACACCTTCTATTAAAGTAAGGCCAGCAGTGATAGCCAGACACATACTTGGCTAACGGTTAGCTGAGTATCCAGGTAATGAACTCCTTACGTAATGAGCAAATGGGGAACCAGCCAACCAGCCAGTCACTAAACTGTGTCATTTGCTAACTCTTCATACAGCCAGCTCCTGGGTAGCTGGCTAACCAGCCACTTGGCTAGATAACTGGAAAGTTCCTTCCCTCATAGCCGGCCCATGGGCAGCTAGCCAGCCAAATAGCAAACTCCCTGTTTAGCTAGTTACATGTACTTATGCACCTACATGTAGCTCATTAGCAGCCAACAAACACATCAGCAGGTGGCTGGGTACTTCTAAACTAGTGAACAAGTTTAAACCTACCACAGAGGTATCTGGCTTTATAATTAAACAAGTCAGATAAGAGACACCCCACAAGTCACAAATAAAAATGAGATCAATTAAGTTGATCTGTCCTGTTTAAATTTTTGCATTGTATCCCTTCAGAAAGGAAACTCACCAAATCTCTTGACATCTTTGTCAGTCCGTAAAGTACAGATAACCGTCTTGCTCATTACATCAACTATGCAAACTTCAAAATCAGGACCCGGAGCTGCCACCAGAGGGCTCCCTTTAAGCATCAAATACACAAAACTTCAATCAACACCGTCCAATAGTTCGACAGATTGAATCGTTAGTGTACAACTAATAATATCAATAAAAATAATGAATATTTATAATGCGCTGATGTCTGCCTCGAGAGAAGCACATCGCGCAGTACAATCAAGAAAAACAAAAAAAAATTAAGATCTAATAACTGTTAACAAAGAAGTGGGATTTCAAGGCAACTTTGAACTCTGAGATTGAAGGGATCGAGTGGATTGAAAACGGTAGTTCATTCTAAAGACGGGGACCTGCATTAGAAAAAGATTGATCACCCCATGAATTGTGAGTATGAGGAATGAGGAACAGAAAGCAAAAAGGAATTGGAAGATCTTAAATGCCTGGGTGGGTTGTACATGTACATCGTTAATAAGCTGACATTGTATTGGGCAGCGGAATCATGCAAACAGTGAAAACCAGTTGCAACTTGTACTTGATACGTCTGAAACAGGGAGCCAGTGTAACGACTGCAAACTGGGAGTAATGTGAGCTCTAGATTTGGCATGAGTCATAATATGAGCAGCAGAATTTTGGAGTCTTTGGAGTTTACCGTGCAGGTGGGGCTTCAACAACGTTGAGGGAAAATGACCAAAGTATGATCAAATTTTGTGAGGACGGACCTTTTCCGTTACCTTGGTGAAAGATGTCACACTTGCAGAAGGTCAGCCCGTTGATTGGCAACCGTGATGTAACATTGTGCCTGCCCTGTCCAATGTCCCAAGTCAGTAAGTGACCATCTCGGCCCTGACTGGATTTGAAAAATAGAGAATTGCAAAAATTGAGAGAAAGTAAAAGGGTTTCAAAACTCACGCCAAACCAGACAAAAACGGCTTTTTGGATGACACAATGTTTTCCTCTTTGTAATGCTTCCTCGTTAATTTATTCATCTGTGAAAATTCTAACCCCTTCTAACTCTTACTTCCGGCGTGAACAAGAAATATCCATACCTGAGGATCTGGTAATTACCGAGAGGTTGAACCCACAGGACACTCTTGCCATCATGACCATCAAGGATTGTATCTGCTCTTCTGGTTTCAAGATTCCAAACCCTGACCTCTCCACATCCACACCTGAAAGAAAAAACAAAACACAAC